GAACTGTAATATTAAATGTAGGTAGAGAATATCATGTATTGGCTGCTCAATGAAACATATTTTAAAATAAAACTGCTAAATTTGCGCTCTAAAATTCCATGACCTTGGAAACACTGTTTAGCAGCTGTTCTGTAGTATTCGATCATATTACATGATCATCAGTAAATGCAGTTTATATTTTCCTAAGCACTTTAACACTTGAAACCTCAGCTGGGCAAACTGGGCAAATCTTCTGCTGATGACCATGTGATACGATTAAAAGCTCCAGAGCAGCTACTTATGGGACCAAGTGGTGAGATTGTTTTATCAACTTTGCTAAATTTGGTTGAATGCATGTAGTTAGAACCTGATCGACATTGAAATATAAGTACTGTTGAAAATCTAACTTAGTTGATATGGGAATAACTATATAGTACTTTACTATTAGAAGCTAATGTGACTTTCTCCTGCTCTGTCCTAGCTGTTCGCCCTCTCCGGATGCTTCCCTCTACTGTTACCCGTGCTCCTGGGCGGACTGCCCTGCCCCGAACCCTGCCAGTCCTGAGCCAGTCTCTGTCATCCCTGCAGACAACACAGCCAATCCTCAGCCAGCACAGGCCACCTGGGCAGAGCCGTGGGTAGATTCCTTCACCTCCTCCGGACCTCGACTGAGGCCACCACCTCCACAGAGTCGATTTGCTCCCTTCGGGGCATTGAACCCCTTCAACCGCCAGTCCCCTTGCCCCTCACCTGAGCCCCCTGCCAATCCCACGACAGATTCCTCCCGAGGTGCAGAGGGCGGTGGGACGTCCACAGGGGTCAATGAAGCGTTGTCTCCGCCCCCTGACCCCACCTGGCGGCCTCCTGCTGATCTGTCTGTGCTGTCATTGGAGGAAGTGTCGGCCTGCCTGCGGTTCATTGGCCTATCAGAGGCGGCGGTGTCTGTATTCCAGAGGGAGCGAATCGATGGCAGCCTCCTGGTGCAGCTGACTGAGGACATCCTGTCACATGACTTCCACCTGAGCCGACTCCATGTTACCAAGATCACACAGTTCATTCAGGGCTGGAGGCCCAAGATCTAACACACATACACACACACACTGTCCTGATAATGTGCCTGTTGGCTACTGAGCCATCCTAAATGTGCCTTCCACTGTGAGCAACTGGCTGCTGAGCCCCACTGACTGAAGCTAAGACTTTGCTGAAGGAAACCACGCCATCCTGTGGTCAACCTATAGAACTGACAATTGACTGGTTCTCATGCCAGGAGTCTGACTGACTGACTGCATATTTCCTGTCTGAATCACAGACTGGGACTAGCTTACTAACAAATGACTACGACAGAGAGCTACATGATGAAAGTGCCCTGTTTCAGTTCGTCTTCGGGGCAGATAGTCAACCACAATACATCTTCATGCTTTGAGAGTGTTAAACACAACATGGATTTGTGTGGCCTTCATGCTGTGCTACCATAAAAAATCTAATATGGGGGGAAAACATGCCTTCATTTCTTTATTTTACAAAAATCTTTTTTTGAGAAATGAACAGATTTTACATATTGTGTTATTCACACCACAGTAAGGGTTTAACACCCCTTATTGTAATGTAAGGATCGTTAAGAGACCACCTCTATTGTTGACCAGTAAGACATGCAACAACACAGATGTAACACTGAACCTGTTCCCTACCCGAGTCTCTTGCACAACCGTCTTCACCTGTCTTATTGAACTTCAGTGGACTGTAATTGGCATAAATGTGCAAGTTTCTTAGTAGATAAGAAAGAGCTAGTTTGTTTAAAGCTAAATTAAAAAAAACAAAATGCAGAAAATCTGAAAGTCAGAAATCTTAGCACCCAATGAAGTAATTATTGAGTTTCTGGTACTGATCAATGATTCATTTAACTATCGCTGAATTTACTGTATCAGGGCCATTTGTGCTTTGGGACCATTTTTTTAATTAACATTCCCTTTAAGGGTAACACAAGATGTCCTTCGGTCTGTCGTCAGATACACAGAGGTGTTGCCATGCTATAATATAATCTTGACTGCCTCAGAAATAGAGTTCTCAAAATGTACCTCAGATCCTTTGTTCAGATAGGCTTGATTTAGCCATGCATAATAATAAATGATATACACTAAGTAATATGTTCACATAGACATTTGTTTTTTTTTTGTTATTATGTCTTCATTACGCACCACTAGACAAAGAACACACTGATGCAAGTAATAGGTGCAGTAAATAAACCGCAATGGAAATGTCAAACTCTGAGCAAAGGTCCAAAGCCCCATTGGAGACGATATAGTTATAAACTGTTTTATTAATTAGTGTTACTAATATTGAATCAGATATTAATACAGTTACAGTTACAACAGTTGTAACTGTCCAGTTATTAAATAATAAAAAAGGAATAATTTAAGAGCAATATCTGTGAGTTGAGGGAAATTTTGACAGGCATTTTTCATTATCTTCCTAAATTTTATAGACCATAAGATTGAATGACTTATCGAAAATATAATTCAATCAATCATAAAAATAATCATTAGTTGCAGTTCTACATTTAAATACCTCCAAATTAGACCAAATATAATTGGAATTGGAACAAAATGAGAAAAAGTACAAGTATGTTAAAGATTTGATCTATTGTGGCTAAAAATACAAATAAACTGAATTTTGAAAGAAACAAAATGACCAGATATTTGCCAGAAATACTCAAAAATCAGCAGATGGAGGGACTGAAGTTTTTCTACATCTGTCAAAATTGAACAGGGCCTGCTTTATGAATTCTACACATACTGTATATCCAGCTTTAATAGGGGTACAAACAATTTTTTCAAACAGGTACTGATGATAATGATGTGATATAACTAGGAACTGTAGTATCAGCTACACTGCGGGAGCAAGATCATTAGCCAGATAACTGTGAAAATGCATTTTATGTTATGTGTCATTTAAATGTCAAAGTAAACTTGTTCATTATTTCTTGTGATTCTCTTGTTGCCATACAAGCTGCTGTTCTCTCATAATGTCTGAAGTAATCCTCTTTAAATTCCACATGACCAAAATTTGATAGGCCAACCTAAAGACCTAAAAACTGTTTCTCATGACATCTCACAAGCTCCATAAATCCTCTCTCTCTGATCATGTAACTGCAAGGCCACTGTAAGAAGAGCAATGAATAAATAAATATGAGAAAACAAAATAAATAGAAGCTTAATGACCTCTGAAAATCAAGTTATCCTTTTGTTTTCCCTGGTGGTTGTGGGAAGCTAGAGTTGTAACAGCACACAGGCAGAAAGTTGTGAGGTTTATTGCAGATAAGGCCGGATGCAGTATCAAAGTTATTGCATTGAAAGAAAATGATAAAATAAAACAGCATCTCAGATCAATCAGTTATCAGAGACATGGGCGGTGCGACAGGCTATTTAGCCATGTCAGTGTCCAGGACAAATTACAAAAGACAGCCATGCCAACAGTTAATGGTCTTTCAATTCAAGTATAAATAAACATCTTATTCCAGGTACAAATACAACAAGCACAACTCTCACATGTCACTGCAACTGCGATGGTTGTGGTTTCAGAAGTAAATTGGCCTTCATATAAAAAACAAAACATAAACAAGATATGAAGAGTTTCACACTTTCAACTGAGCCCAGTGGTTACAAGATGAATCAGAAGCTTATGGCAGAGTCATAACCAGGTAAGAAAGACAAGATCAGAAGTAGAAAACGTGTTTTTAATTAATTAATTGATCCATTTCCTCTTTTTTCTTTTTACAGTAGCAGTGATCAATCTGATTACTTCGCCTTCGTTTAGCTAGTAATCATACAAATCATGAAAAAGGTGATGATGCTTCAGTGGTAAGCAGTGGTGGAAGAAGTACTTGCAACCTTTACTCACGTATATGTACCAATACTGTACAAAAATGTTACAATACTTGCATTCCTGCATTCAAAATCTTAAGTAAAAGTACAATCAGTAAAACTAATTAAGTTTCAAAAGTAAAAGCTCAAGAGAGCTCAAAAGAAACAAGATTGTTCTAAATGTTATTAGAAATTATATAATTAGATTGTTAATACTGATGCATCATCATGATGTGTAAGCACCATGGTCAAGGTAGAGATCATTTTAACTACAATATAGACTGTATATAAACACTTCATGTGGGTAGTTTAGTCCATTGGTTTCCAACCTAGGCCCCTCCAAAGGGTCGCAAGATAAATCTGAGGGGTCATGAGATGATAAATTGGAGTGGAAATGTGTATTAATATTTTAGACTTTTCTCTAATGTTTGCTGTTATTTGTAAAACACTGGATGATTTTTACCTCTTTGGGCCTTGAGCAGTTATTTTAATGTAACCAAATGAACATCTGAAACTGAAGACAAAAAGGTTAGGAACCACTGGATTAATTTTTTCATACAATGAACTGTATTTTTTAAGCATTTTCTATGTTTTATTTAATGTAAAAAATCTTAATCTGAAAAGTAGCCAGTAACTTTAGCTGTCAAATAAGTGCATTGGTGTAAAAAGTAAAAGTCACATCCAGCAGAAGTTGAACACATTATCACCAAATTAATGTCATGCTTTATATTAAAAAAAAAAAAACTTTGAAAAAAAAACTTTGAAAATCCCCATATTGGCTCATTTGTAAAACTTGGTAAATGCAGATTTGTTCCTATTAACATCCTCCAAACGCCTCATGATGCTCACAAGACGCTCTGCACCGAATGTGTCTACAAACCTGAACGGACCTGAAGAAACATGACATTAAAAATGTGGGATCAGCACATTCACTACAGAGAGAGTTGTGTACTTCAGGGCTGCAATTTTAGATTTATGGATTCCATTTTGATTACATCTGCCATCATGGCAGGGATGGAAGCCAACTACAAACACAGCTCCAATGTCTCCCTCTACTGGGTCTCTCAGTATCCCCTCCTGGAGACGCAGAACTGCCTCATTTAAAAAGCGTGATACAATCCGGTACTGCATGTCAGAGTCTGAAGAACTGCTAGAAACACACATGATCATTATTTTATAGAGATATCAGAGTGCAATGTCTTACACCGCAGGGGAGCTGGCACATTGTATTTCTTGAAGATTTATACATCTTCAGGATTCACACTCCTGTATTCCTTGAATGAAAAACATGCACTGTTTTAGTAAAAATCAGTTCTCAAAGAAACTGACTCAATATGAAGTACAATATGTATCATATCAACAGTGCATCTTCACACTGAGCTGATACTTTAAATAACACATTAGTGGTAATTATCACCCACTGCTGCAGTTAACTACCTACATGCAGATAGTGTTGCACATCTGTCCCTGAATAATTTCCCACTAATCCCACTAACTTTAATGCATTCTGAAATTGTGTTTTGAAAAAAAAATAAGTCCAAAAAAAGTCCCTGTGGTTAACTGGCGACCTGTCCAGGGTCTCACCCATTGTAAGCTGGGATTGACCCCCCAAACCTACAGATTGACGGTAAATTCTGTAAAGGTTGAGGAAGGCACTCCATGGCTTGGGCCTGAAGGTTTCTGTTCAAATCTCACTAAACGTTAGATGAAGTGCGGCTTTCAGGGAGTGAAACAAGTTTGTTCTCCAAAGAATCCAGAAATCCTAAAGAAGTGCACATTTACTGTTCCACTTTTTCATTGTCAATACCACTTCTGGGTAACCAGCTGTGACCGAACGGCCAAACAATATACTGTATATCATACTTTTTAAAATATGAACATTAAATCATTTGTTTTGTCAGAGAGCTACTGAGCTCTTTCATGCATGCATGTATTTTTGGTACAGTTTAAAACTGGTTGTCCAAACTCTCAAACTGAAACGCTGAGGTAACTGAATTTCAGAGCATGAGATTGTAAACCTCCTTCAGGATTTATGCTTAATGTTGATGTCCTCAAACTCAGCCTCTATCACCATGTCAGCAGACTCGAAACCAGAATATTTAAGTTCGGCATCAACATTCCCCCCTTAACCTCAGTGTTGAGACTGAAGGCAAAGACAAGACATTTTCAAACCTTAAAGAGGATCATTCTATTCTTCTGAGTTGTTGTGAAAGCCACTTGCTTGTACCATTTTTTGAGAAATGGCGAAATGCAAATTTACATGTGCATCTCACCTTTTTTGGACCTGTTTATGTCCCCTGCTGATGTTCTCCACTCTGGTGCCCTTTAGAATGGTGGTCAGGCCACCTCGGCAACACCAGTACCCATCAGCCCTGCACCCAGGACCACCAGCCTCCTGACACACAAAACCTATTATACAGTTATTGTACAGAAAATACAGTCTTATTGCTGACATTGAGGCAATACCTTTTTATATACAGTCTATTGTCAATACATCAAATATTTGGGGTGTTGTTAACAGTATATCACCCCTGTCTACAACTCTTAGTTGAAGCTCAAAGTGTTTTTTCTTACAAGTCACCTGACTGAGATTCGAACACTGAAGTCATTGCCAACTAAATTGTTAAACTGTAGAAACATTTTGCCTAAAAAACAATTGAGGAAAAGAAAACTCACAAACTCACCACAGCTTCAGCCAGATAACGTGCCTCTCTGACCTGCTCCCTTCCAGTCCTGCTCCCTTCCAGTCTGGACACACAGAATGTCAAACACAAGACAGAGCGTGACCCACATATGAACAACATCGTGTGGAAATGTGTTTTTCTTCTGCTACTTCCCATTTGTGAGTTCCTCACCCCAATGATTTTGACAGGAGCAGGGTAGAGGTCTTTAGTCTGTTGACAGTTTACAGATGTGGACCATGTGGTGTATTTAGAGCCTGACCTCTATATCTGCGTATATAATTTGTTGATTACGACTTATCTGCATATCTGTTCTCTGGAAATCAAATACAGATGTGTACCACCAAACATATGATTTACTGACTGTGTCCACATTACTCTATTTAATAAATGTTTATAATAAATGTAATTTTATAAATTGTAAGTCTTTGCACAGCTAGACGTCAGCCATGATATCTAGTTAAATTAGGGCAACTAGTGTGAACCAGCCTTCACTCACTCTGCTTGAGGCTGTTGCTCCTTTGTAAAGGGAACCTTCTTATTGGATCCCTTGGCCACGCGCGCACAGCAACCTCCTCAAGGTATTCAATAGTGCTTGCCTCTGCAGGCTTCACACCAGGACCTTGAGTCAACAAACAGAGTTTAATCCCCCTCCACCCTCGTCTAGAGGAGCAAACCACAGAAGATTACAGCAGGAAAAAAGTACTATCTTTCGTATGAAGCACAGAAATTATGAAATGCCACACGTCGAACATACCCAGAGGGTCCACAAGCTGGTGCACTAGACCTATCTTCGTGGCTTTATCCGCCCTGATGTTCCTGCCTGTCAGCATCATGTCAGACGCTCCGGGGAGACCCACCTACACACACACATGCACGTGCATGCAACAAGTGGGTTGCAGATACTGTGAGTTGATATCCCCCCAAGTGAGGCTCTTGACCTTAATATACTCCAGTGTAGCTTAGTAGCCACTAGCACAAAACTGTGACAGTACTTTCAAGCCATTAACTGAATAACTGATTATTATGAGTGTGTGTATGTATCCTGTTTTAGGCAGCCTTTGAGTGCCGCCTGTTCCAGGCAGCAGTTCCAACATGAGCTCTGGTGTCCCCAGGAACGTTTCTTTGGTTTTTGTTCTGTAATGACAGGCTTTCTACAGAGAAGACGAGGCTTAGTGGTCAAATCTTAGTCACACACACACATACACACGGTCATACCTTGAGAGCCATAGATGGCAGCAACAATAGAGATGGAAGCTTTCTCAATCTTCTGACGTTCCTGAGAGAGATGGGTGGCCTCCTCACTGCTCTCACAGGATTAGATCCCAATTTACAAGCCCCAGTTTGCTTGCAGTCAAGAAAGTATGAAGCATTTTTTATTAGTTTCTGACTCTGATGGGGCGAAAACAGTTCCCAAAAATTACTGTATCTCTAAACTCTCACACATGTAGGCTATTCTGTGCGATCTCCTTTTGATAACTTATGCAATAAGTAATGTAATATTGTTTCACTTCCTTTCACTATGCCTCCCCTGAAACGGTTTGGAGGCCCCCTAGGGAGGCCCGCCTCACACTTTGAAAACCCCTGGCCTACTTCATATCTGCCCCAGCGATGAAGCAGCCAGACTTGCTGGAGATGAAGATGGCACTGTTCACTGCTCCGTTCGACCAGATCTCTCCCCCATCACCTCCATCAGCTCAGACTGCATCTGCAACGACAGTGTGTTCACCTACACACAAACACATGCACACATTCTGATTAATCATGTCGCATCTGTCAGTGAGAGACTGAGACAGAGACAGGTAGTCAAGACTGTCACAAACATAATCTCTCCCTCTCTCTCTCTCTGACATTTACCGTCTCATTCTTTCTTCCATAAACACACACCCACACGGCTACACGCACACACTTTGTCTGTTGAATCACTGAGTCGTATAACAGCCACGTGATCCTTGAGCTCGTAGCTGATGTGTCTGAGCTTGATGGAGAGAAAAGTGAAAAAAATAAAATAAAATAGAGGATAGATCGTCAAATAGAGGGCTACCAGTATTATATTATGCTAATTTCTGCTAGTTTAACAGTATCCCTGGTGAATGCTTGCATTAATACACTTGAACGGTGTCCTTGCTCAAGGACACACAGGCGAAATGTTGGAACTGGGAGGGCCCCACAAACCAGCCTGTCGCCAGGTGAATTGCAATTGAATGAAAAGTGAATGTTTTTAAAGAGTAACAAAACCCCAAGATCAAATCTGTGTGTGGCCAGAAATCTAATAAGTTAAAAGCAGATACTGAAGTGTCAAATTGCTATCGGCTGGTCTTCAATGTCAGGTGACGCAATCTCTGGCAGATGGTACCGATGATGTTCACAAATAGCAACTTATTGTTTGGAGTAACCAAAACACACTTCAGGACAAACACACACACACACCATTACACACAGTATAATGCATGTCAAATTCATTCTCTACATTTTAATCAGGAGCAGTGGGCAGCCACTGTACAGCGCCTGGGGAGCAGTTAGGGGTTCAGGGCCTTGCTCATGTGCACTTTAGGCAGTGCCCAGGAGGTGACTTGGCACCTCTCCAGCTACCAGTCCACACTGTATGACTGGTCGGTGCTGGACCCAAGTCCCCACAGACTGAACTACTGCCACCGAAGAAGACGACAAACTGTAAACATGGATGTAAACAATAGAGGTTACAAAATGTAAAAGAACTAAATATAAAAGAAAGTTTGCATGATGTTTTGTGAGGAAGGAAACACATTCACCTCAAGGACACACACAGTGTGTTTGATGAGTCAACAATGCAAATAGTTTTGAATAGTTTTGATGAGTAGTCAACAATGCAAATAGTTTGTTTACAGGACAGACAGTAATGATGTGAAACAAGGAGGGGTGAATTTGTTACAGACTGGTGAGGACAGTTTAATTCACAATCTTAAACATCTATAAATCTGGACTTGAAACTTTCACATCAGATAATGGCCACACAAACTTGATAATGTCTTACTTTTACTAAAACGGACTGATATATTGGTAAATCATCAGTCTGACCCCCAGTTGTCAGTGTATATTAGAAGCTATTAGATACTGTACTGTATGCTCATAGATTGCCCTCACATGAGGAGGAGGCAGGCCTGACCCTTGATCTACTTTTGGATCTAAGGTTACCCTCAACCCTCCCATCACTGGCAATAAAGTAACTTACAGCTCTCCTGCAGCCGGGCAGTGGTAAACAGATGGTGTCAATAAAGCTCAAACTAAAACACTAACTTTAGAAATAAAGGACCTCGGTCTCAGTCAATACTTAAAAAAAAAAAAAAAAAAAATCGATTAATTGTTTAGCCTATAAAACTGTGAGGACATTGTCTTCAATAAAACAAATATTCAATTGTTGACTTCGTATGACATACACTAACAATAAAGGATATTTGCTATTTGCAAACTTGGATAAAAACTCCGGCTGCAAGAGAAACTGCCATCTTCACCTGAAAGTCTTTCACAACGGCGTCCAATCTGACCGTTAGGGGCGCCAGCATGTCAAAAGGCAAACAAGATAAGGACCTCAAAACACGCTAAAATATCGCCGTACCATAAAATGTTATTATACTCAAATTATTATCTGTTATTTAATTAAAAAATATTTTGTGACGTTAGTATTATAATTCAATTATAATTACACCCGCGTGTAATAAAGAGCTTTTTTAATTATAAATTACAACTATAGAATTAGTTACTAATTTGTTTTCTTCAGGCATTATTCTGGTCAGCTAAAACACATTGGTGGGTCCTTGAAAGCGTAGTTCTGTAGCACTAGTCTGGCTGATCGTTTGACAGGGACCCTGTGTCGGGAAAGACAACAGAAGTACAGGTAACCTTCAACTTCGCTTTCACTGTTAATAACAGTGATAGATAATACAACTAGAAAGAGAAAAGATATAGTGTTGACTCTGCAAATGCGTTACTTCATCCCAAGCACAGAGAAATAGATCACAACTGATTGGAAACTTTAGCTAACAACTAGCCGCCTAGCTTTACTAGCCTGCATCTAGCTTCCAGCTTCATCGTTTTGCTGTTTAAATTCTTTCAGTAATGTATTTTTTAGGTTTAAACGTTACTTTAAGAAACCAAATATTTAGACAATCTGTAAGCAGTGCTGACCCTGATTGAGTCCCGTGATTCTTGCATTATTTCTGTCACTGTCATTGTCCAGGAGAGGAATCTAGGTGAAGGGTCACAGCCAGGGTTTGGGGGGTTGGGCTGGGTGATCGTTAATGATATGTCTTAATATCTCTACAAAATAAAGCATAGAATAAAACATTATATTATCGTATTTCTTCTGTAAGTTAACGTTAAATATGTACACAATTTTAAAACACAGAGGCGTGCGACCTCTGACGTGTATAGCAATTGTAAGTCGCTTTGGATAAAAGCGTCAGCTAAATGAATAAATGTAATGTAATGTAATTTAATATGGCCAAATGCGGGAACAGAGTGCTTCATGTGCATGTGCTTCATGACGAATCTTTAAATGTCTTACGTTTATAGTTAGACACACATCTAGTGTTTCTACTGATTAGCAGGGTAACATTGTATTTCTACAGTTGTATATGGAGTTTAATCTCTCTAAGTTAACGTTACACCAGCTGCTATCCTCTATACTCACAAATATACACAAATATCATCTGTACCTGTACTTATTATTTCTATTAGTATTTAATTTACTACTACTATTTATCATGACACTTCTGTTAATTCTGTAAAATACTGTACATGTCAACACTCCTTATATTTAGATGTTTAGATTTTAGAATAAGCATTTCTGATTCTGACTGATGCAGTTTATTATGTCTGGTGTGATTCAGATGTTGAAGTCACAGGTGCATACTACAGTTGACCTATTGCCTACAGAAGTAGGTCTGAGTATTACCTGAGAGGCCTTGTGTTGTGTTTTTGTGTGGTTATATCACTCCACAATCAGAGTGGTGATTATAATGCTAATACATAAAACCCTCATGAGTTATGCAGATAAACATTTAAAATAACAATGTCATTGTAAATGGAGACATAGAAAGCCACAACTTCAAAAAACACTATTAAAAATATAGAAGTATGTATACTCATTTATAATTAGGTACCTAGCTAAAACTAATGCAGTCTAATACAATAAATCTTACATTCATGAATGTTATACTGTTCAGTTTTTGTTGATTCAGGGCCATAACCTTTTCATAAGGAGCCTGGTAAACTTTGTTGTAACAATTAAAGTTTTATTCTTTGTAGAACATAATGACGTCCATGTTGCTGAACACGATGCGGGGCTGCTCGGTCAGCCCTTCCTGGGCGATGCAGTTTGGTAAGTTGTGTACATTGACAGTTTTACAGATTTTCAATATATGTCAAGGCACTGAGAAAAACATTCTAGCAACAACAGAATGGAGTCACAAAGGCAACATACAACACCAACACTTATTGTTTGGCCATTGGCACTTTTGTTTATTTAGCCTCTCCATTTGCTGCCAAAACACTGTTACCTCCTTATATTGGTGTATAGTATATTAATCGTTATAAATGTTTGTTCCAACCTAAGTTCGGTGAAGTATTTTAAACTATTGAGGAATATTTTTCTCTGTGTGTTGCAGGGGCGCGCTCTCTCAGTACCACGTCCCAGCTTCAGGCTCAGGGTGAGTTGACTCTTAAGTGATATCATTTACATTCACATAAAAATCCAGATTATAGCCTTGTGGAGATCACACTGTTTTAAATGTGAGCAGAAGAGCCTCTGTTTATTTGATTCATTTATTTTTCTGGACAGAACCTGTGCAAAACTAAATGTTGAATTAATCCTATGAATCTAAATGTTTGGAAATTTTATATTGTGATGGTAATCAAATTTATTCCATATATCCATCAACCGGTTTCTTTTCAGTTCAGACAAAGAGCAAAAAGACACTGGCTCGCCCTGGTATGAAGAACATAGTTCTGGTGGAAGGAGTTCGAACCCCTTTCCTGTTGTCTGGAACCACGTACGTATCTGCTGTGGCTGTGACCACTTTAAGTTTATGGTGCTTTGATGAGAACAAAGCTCAACAAAGGTTCATTGACCTGTAGATGATCAGAAAAGTGAAATGAACATGTTTGTCTTTTTTAAATGTTGAATTGTCAAGGAAAACCTGTAGTCACATTACTTTTACTGAGAGATAATCTTGGCTTGAAGGAAAAACCTTCCTGGTTTGTGTTTACAGATATGCTGACCTTATGCCCCATGACCTGGCCAGAGCAGCTATGCAGTAAGTGTGTCCTTAAGTTGTGTGCTGAAATCACTGCTTTCAATTTGGGGAAGTAAGAAAGGCTCTTCATCACGTGCGAGTGCAATGTGTGGTGTTACCAGCCAGTATAGGCATTAAAACAAGAGTTACATATAACCACTGTTCTGTGAATAGTGGGTGTCCTTAAGATGTTAATATCTCTGCTTTAAAGCTTCTAAAACGCTGTAGACAGCAGGAGTGAACAATGGCGCAACTATCTGACAGAGATGTGGAGTGTGGGAATATTTTGTTTACTTTTGTCCCTGTCATTTCACAAGCCTGTTTCTCAAATTCTGAGAATCTTTATGTATGACAGAAAGTTGTTTTTTAAAGATTTACATATGGGTTTCCCTAGGGGTCTGCTACACAGGACGGGTATACCCAAAGATGCTGTAGACTACATTATCTATGGAACAGTCATTCAGGAGGTCAAAACCAGCAATGTAGCCAGAGAGGTATTCACTCACTCAGTCACTCACTCACTCACTCACACTAAATGGTTATAGTATCTGGAGCTTCACGTACATATGTTTTCATTTACTAGCTTTAAGACTCAATCCTAAGCATTGAGCATTAAGCAGTAATATAAAATATTAACCAAAGGAGCATTCTGTGCTCTGCACATACATCTGTGTGTAAAGTTATGAAGGGGGCTCCAGTTCTGTTGTGCACCTTCATTTTTTTACCGTGATTTCAGGCTGCACTGGGTGCAGGCTTCTCCGACAAGATCCCAGCTCACACCGTCACCATGGCCTGCATCTCCTCCAACCAGGCAATGACCTCAGGTATGTGAGGGGAAGAAATCTCTACACCAAACCTCTTCCATTTGACATGTACTGTATATTTTGGTCTAGGCAATCATCATCATTATACATATTGTCATTTATTGACTTGATATTATTGTTTTGTTATTGTTTGTAAGTAATCAAAATACATTTTAACCTTGACAAATGGGCATGTTGAAGATGAGGAATCATAAAACAGCTATATAGATGTCTGATGACAATGAAGTGGAAATAATGGTGGAGGATCACAGCAGGAGAAAGAGATCAGACGTGTCATGACAGTAAGGCACATGTGCAAAGAACGCTATGGTAAAAAACAAGGAATATAAAAACAGGGTGAATGTCATTTTTGTAAAAGTTTCTTATTTTTTTTAAATTTCCATATTAACTGGGTTGGTTGACCTTTGTCTCTTTCTCATCCTTC